CAAAAAAAAATTAATTGAAATGAATAAAAATGCACAAAATGCAATAAAATAAATTTGAAAGAATTCTTTATGAAAAATATTTTAAATGTATAATATAATTTAATTAAATAAAATATTTGAACTAAACGTTTTGGAATTTCAACAAAAATTTTTAACTAATGTGCCTGGAATGTTTTAAATGCTGCACTACTGAGGCGATGATGTCACATGTCACATGCCACATGAATACCAGTAATGACATCAATTAAAGGGAAACGCACAGCCTAAGTATCTGAGAGTAGTAAATAAATGCTACTCGCTATAATATCTCAACTGCAAGTAATAATGCAGTTTTTAATAGACTTGAAACAGACAATTAACGAGTACACTCGACGTTGTCATATAAGCATTTAAGTCCGCTGATAAATTAAATTGTGTTGAGAACTACTAAAGCCAATTTCGTTCATTGAATTTGATTCTTTTTATCGGACGAATTATGCGTTTGTGTACTTTGCAAAAAACTGCACAGATTGGTTACTGCAATTAAGTGAATCACTTTATTGTGCCTTAGGCGCACGCATAAGATACAAAATATTTTAGAAAAAAGAGCCGACGACTTTGATGACATCAGATAAAAAAAATTGCATTTACAATTGCATAATCGTAATTGTCACACTTCGAGGTTAGTGAACTCGTTATGTTTGCTCGCCATAATTACATATAAAAATGCTTATATCTTTGTATTTTCTCTGGGTATTTTTCCCACTAAACATGCTTAATGCTAACAATGCACAAATGTCAAAGAGTTTATAATTTTCTTTGATTTAATGCCATCATACCCCGTAATATCTGCGCTGCACTTGACAATATTTTCTGCTCTCCTATGTTTGTGCGATGGAGCGTATGAGCAACATTGCTTCCGCTTACGGCACCGTTGCATTTTTTGGATTTTTCTGCAACGAATTTTCAATTTTATTCTGAACTTCACTTTTTAATGGGAGCGATTATCCTTTTCAACTCCAATAATCCGCCCGCACTTCAGACATTTGCAACGACAATAAAACCGATGTTGGCGTACATTCAACAAATTCTTTGTCATGTTTTCCTTTTATTTTTTTTTTTTGTGTACTCTTTTGTACTTGTTTTTGTCATATTGTAAGATATTTCAAATAATAATGGCTTCGTAAATCCTGTCTAGGAGTTTTCCTGATTTTTTTCTAATGTCTGCCTGCCTGTACGTCTGATAATATCATATATATTATGTGTAGCTTTTAGACGTTAGTTGATTAAGTTTTTATAAATTGTAAAATTTTTGTTCTGGGTGTGTCCTTCATGTCTGCATTTCAGTAATGCACTTGGGTGTGTTTAGCGTGAATTTCATAAAACCATAAAAATCCTTTTAAATTTAAAGTTATTATCATTATACTGCTATGTTAGCGTTCTCATTCTTCACTTATATGTCCCTAATTACTGAAAAGTAATCATAACATAATCACGCTTTCATGAATAGAGTATGTGTCAAATAAGCAATTAGTCGAGCTTTAATAATATTTTGACTCATAGTTATAACTGAAATACACTTTATATAGGTATAAACACTGCTTCTAAATCGCTATTAACATAATTGTATGGAATTTAAATTGCTTTATTGGAACAAAACTTAATGGAACTTAACTTCTAGAAATAATGTATTAAACAAGTATAATACTATAAGACTACCACTATTAATTTCTTTTTAATTAGTGGTTCTGATAATCAACTTAAGAAAAAAAAATCTCCTAGAAAACTAGACTCTAACCACATACTAGTTAAATTAATCTAAACATTTTGTTAGAGAAATTTTAGCTCATGTGATAAAAAAGTTATAAAATCCAAGATGTGATATAGTTAAACCAATATGAACCATCGAATAAAAATATTTTGATCTGAGATTTAGTTAATATCAGGTTAAATCAACCAAATTATTTTTCTGAGCATTTCCATTAATTCAGATTTTAATGTAGTTCTTATTTTAATATATTAATTTGACTTAGACATTAGGTAAGGATTAAAACATCATTTAAATATACTCTATCCCACATCTCACAATACTTAATCCTTTTAAAATAATTTACGATAAATTATAAGCACATAGCAGACATTACCACGGTCATAGCTTGACGAGTGTTCCTTTTTCATTTTCTAAGGTATAAAATTTTAAGGATTCTCCACATAAATTCGATACTTTGTATAACCTCACAATAAAAGTGACAAATCACATAATCTCAATGTCAAATTTTCATCATCAAAAGATGAAATTACATGAGATATTTCAAAACGTTAAGAATTTGAGAATTATTCATATAAATACGATTCTTAGATTCTTAATAAGCCTGCACAAAAAAAAAATTTTAGTACTAACCTAACCTTGATGTCAAACTCACATCACGATATGTGCAAAAAGGTGTAGAACTTAGGGATTGTCTATATCAATTCAATCTTTCGCTTAACTCCATAAACGAAAGGTTTAGTAGTGACAAATGGAATGATATTGGTATCTAAACTCACCACATCATGCAATGACATGACTGGAAAATTTCATCCACAGCAAACCCAAAACATAATGAATTATGTCTAGTATTATCCTCTTAAAATAACACATCTTTCACGTACATATGTACAATTTTATACCAAAATTGATGTCTTGAAGCGTTTAATGAGATCTTCAGAACGAATGTCTTACCACACAATGACCTTTGTAAATGCAATCATCTTTATACAATTAGTTTGGATTTTCACTAACCCATATGCAAAAATTTAGCCAGATTAGTAAATTCCGTACTGAAAATAATTAGTATAGCCCAACCACCCTATGACCTAGACATTTTTTAATCCTTATATTTAAATAGATATTTTGCAAAAAGATGAAATGAAATTATCAAAAATATTAAAAAAATAATTATACTAACACCATTACTCCATATTTGCTATTAACTTTGAGATATAAGTTCACCCAAATCCTCTAAGTCGATTTCAATGAGGTGTGATCATTTCCTTCTAACAGCCCACTACACAACTGCGGTTTTAGTAGACCAGGTTAGAGAATATATACATAATAATCTTTGATTCTCACAATTACCTACAACTCTTTTAGAAGTTGAAGTGTGTATATAATGATCTCCCTACGATTCTCACAGTAACTCCATCCTCTTCAAAAGTTTAACCTTCTTTCTTATCTTTTCTTTAGTTTATTAACTTCTACTTTTACTCATGACTACTGAGATGAGGTTCTCAGAAGTTTAATGATTAAAATCTTCATGTTCATTTCTAAAAAATGGTTCAATGGGCTGGAGTCTTTCGCAATGGATTTTAAAGCTCTAAATTTACCAGACAAAAAAAATAGAATGTACAAAATAAAAAGATTTATATTTGCCATTCATGATATTGTATAAAATTAGTATTCCTAAGAACGATTAATCTGTCTAAATAACGAACTAAGAACAATTTGCGTTTGTGTATAGAATTTCAACAATTTGATCAACATATTGCCGCTTTAGTACGGCTTCGAATTACACTAAATAAGAGGATGAGTCCAGTCAAATAAGGTTCCTACGAAGCTTACTATATGTACTTTCTGACGTTAAAAAGATTTATTTCATAAATTTATTTCATAATTTATTTCATAATTTATTTCAGAAAAATTGATTTCAAAATCATACATCAGCTTAATTAGCCGGAAGACTAGTTAATTAATTCTTCTACCTTATTGGTTTAACAGCACATTGAAAAACAATCATAACATATAACCTATAAGAACCTATAAGACAATATTCCTCATAAACCCCTTTTATAATAGGTCTAATAAAAATTGGAAATACTGATTCTACCGAAATCTATAAAACTTAGACATTCACAGTAATCAATAAAAGTGATTATCAATAAACACTGTAATGGTTGACTGAATTAAATGTTTTTCATACGTATTTAGCAATTATATTATAGAAAATCATCGATTCTAATTATTCTATCGATAATTATTGAATATTACTCATTTTAACATTAATTCAAAGCGTTATTGAGAAACTTATCATATCCAACTTCAATAATTTTACTTTTAATTATTTTGTTATTTGTTGAGAATTAAATTCCTAATTTAAGTGATTATTTGCATTATTTAATTAATCCATTATAATCCATGTTATTTTAACATACATAACAATATGTTTACTTTTGTTTAAGACATATTTCTTAAATTAATTTATTATGAAAAGTATAACTCAGAAATTATTCATCCCTAATAAAGAAAATAATTTTCGATTGATTATCATAACAACAAATTATATAGGATGTATGCGAGTTGGGCTAAGTTGATGCTAAACCAAATGAGAGATTTTTTGGGATATTTTGCACTGCACACAGTTAGCCATTTATCAACACATCATTACATTATCGGCACAATTTAGAATTTTCCTCGTTTAGAACGCAACTTAGCCTAACTCGCACACGTCCATAATACCTATAATCGACAACCTTGCAGTATTAGACACCTAAGATCTCGAACTCACAACCCCGTTAAATAAGATTTAGCAAAATGCCTTAAACCAACAACAAAGTGCAGCTTATATATAACATACAATATAATATTTGTATTTTAGAATATTATTGATTTCAATTCTTTATACAATATTTATAATAAAAATTTTTGATTATTAAATTGACTTCCACAAAAATCAAGGAATACAATTTAATAAAAGACAGTAAGTAATAATGAAAAACCAACAAAAATGTATCTTATTTAAATCAATTTCTATTTGAAATAAAAGATTCTTTCTAATAAATCAAAAATTATAAGATGTAATTTAAGCGAACCACACTAAGCTTCATTATATTCTACAGTGTCATGCTTTTACGGTACAATTCCTTATTTTACACTTACTGTACCATGTCATAAGCCTTAATACGCATTTTGTTATTATTTCACAATAATTTTTGTTCCTTGAAGATATTGTTTTTGTTTTTATACTCGTATTTTTTGTTCGTACCTTTTTGTTCTGCTTGTGACTGCATTTGTTGTTGTTTAACATCCATTTGCGTTTGTTGCAATTGGGCTGGTGGTGGCTGTTGTTGTTGTTGCTGCTTTTGGTCCTGTAACAAATTCTGTTGGTGTTGTTGCTGCTGTTGTTGTTGTTGTTCCAATTGTTGTTGTTTCACAATGTTATGTGAATCATCTAGAATGTTTGCTGCTGTTATTGTTGTATTTGCGGTGGGAGCTACAGGAGCCGCAGCTTCCATAATAGAGCTTTTCTCCATGACATCCGCCATATTGGAATAATATGTTGTATTTTTATACTATATATAAAAAATTTTTTTTCAAACACTTAACTTCCTCTTCTTTTAAAAGCCGAAGTAATGATGCAAAAGCACGCAAAAGGATTTTACAGAATTGAACGGTGGATTTTTTATTTATAATTTTTAAAGTATTATGTGTGTATAGAATATTTTTTGAATATATAGAAATATATTTATTTATATTTTTTTTATAAATATTAAAAATTTTACTTAATTTGTGTATCACTTTATATATGTATATTTATATAGACTATTTATTGGAATGTTGTTACACTTGCCTCACTGGAAAAAAAATTAAGTCGTTAACACTTTTTGCCGAATATAAAATCAAATAAGAACAAAAAAATTAAAAAAATTGGAATAAAAATACGTAAAATTAATTTAATTTGAAAAAATATCAAAAATATATATTTTTTCAAAACAAAGTTATATAGTATATTGAATTCTTATATCTCTTTTGAACTAAGACTTTGTTTAAATTTCTATTTAATTACTGTTATTTGTTTTTAATATTCACATTTGTTTCAAAACTTGTTTCAGTTTTGAATATAAAATTTATGTGTTAAATAAAATTTCACAATCTAATTTTAATCAATTATTTTATATATGTATTTTACACCTTTAAAATAGTTGCAATGCGAGCCGAGGAATCTTTTTAGTCTGTTATCTCGAATTCAACTGATATTCAAATGCAAAATAATTTTTAATTAACGTTAAAGCTTTGAGAACGCACAAATGCCCATACACCGTAAAAAGCTTTTTTAGTACAAACTCTCTTATCAGCACTAAAATGTAAGAGACGCCATCTATTGAATTATTTGTAAAGTAAACTTCACAATGCTTTTATGTTTCGTTAAAAAATTTAGTACTGCTGTCGTTTTTACGGAAAGAAAAGCTTTCAGTCGTACAGTTAAAAAATTTTATTTCAATTGTTTAATATTAGACATAATAATATTTCACTAAAAAGTATTTTATTACACAATATTTAATTGAATTAATTTAATAAAATATTTTATCAAAAAGTATTTAATTATTAAATAGTATTAAATAGTATTTAATTAAATAATATTTCATTAAGAAATATTTTATTAAAAAATATTTTATTAAAAAATTTTTTATTAAAAAATATTTTATTGAAAAATATTTTATTAAAAGTATTTCATATAAAAATATTGTGTTAAGAAATATTTTATTAAAAATTATTTTCTTATAATATATTTTATTAAACAATATTTTATTAAACAATTTTTTATTAAAAAATATTTTATTAAAGAAAATTTTTTTAAACAATATTTTATTAAAAAATTAAATTTTATTAAAGAAAATTTTTTTAAACAATATTTTATTAAAAAATATTTTATTAAAATTTATTTTATTACAAAATGTTTCATTAAACAATATTTTATTAAAAGTTTTTCATTTAAAAATATTTTGTTAAGAAATATTTTATTAAAAATTATTTTCTTATAAAATATTTTATTAAAAAATATTTTATTAAAAAATATTTTATTAAAAAATATTTTATTAAAAAATATTTTATTAAAAGTATTTCATTAAAAATTTTTTATTGAAGAATATTTTATAAAAATCATTTTCTTAAACAAATATTTTATTAAAAAATATTTAATTAAAAAATATTTTATTAAAGAATATGTTGTTAAACATTATTTTATTAAAAAAATATTTTATTATAAAAAATTTTATTAAAAAATGTTTCATTAAAATATATTTTATTAAAAAATATTTTATTAAACAATATTTTATTAAAAAATATTTTATTTAACAATATTTTTTTAAACAATATTTTATCAAAAAATATTTTATTATATAAAATTTTATTAAAAACTGTTTTATTAAAATATATTTTATTAAAATATATCACCATTAAAAACGATTTAACCAGTCTTATTGTGCTTATGTAGGCACAAAAGATATTGGATGATATCGATATAGTAAATAAAAACTATAATCGTTCCTATTATATCGAAAATACCAACTAAATGGGTTCATAACATTTTATAAAATGGAAATGATAAAAAATTATCAGCAAAATAGGTGTCACGATTGAAAATGGTTCAATTCTGTAATTCCGAGTAGAATTTCAAACAAAATGTTTTGTTTAATCATATATTCGCATGAGAAAGACAAGACGTCGCGCGAATTGTTCTCAACAACTGTAAGCACTCACATATGATTACATACATTTGATTTGTTCATACGAACACGCAAGACAAAATTCGCGTGCAACGTCACCGCAGCCTTATGTCACGGGCACGGCGTGTGTAAAATTATTGTTGTTTTCAATGCAAATTATAAAATTGAGAGTTAGAGTGAGAGTAAAAACAATATGTCGGTTCAAATTTTAGCATGCGATCTGTGCCTCAGCACTTAGACAAACCAGTGTTATCCAGTAATAAATGTCAAAATTTGCGTCTTTTAGGAGAAAATTCTTACAATTTTAGTACATTTTGAAGAAAAATGGTCAGGAAGCAACAGGGCCCATTTCATAAACTGCTAATAATCTAATTCTCAGATTTTCCGATTTTAAGAAAACGCATATAATTTTGTAAGTACAATCATTATAAGAAAATACAATAATAAAGTAGCATTCCTTTTAAATTTAGGTACAATGAACAAGTAAAAAAAGTAGTAACAATACGAAATTGCCAATACTGATGTGACGCTCTACATAACATTAATTTTCGTCTTAGCCCGGAAGAGCCTATTTTACCATGCCCGCGACACTCTACATAACATGTTCCAAATACACACAGTAACGAATTTTGAATATCATTCAGTAATTATAAAAATATTTTAATACAAATACTTTTTAAAACTTAATTGAACCTCACTGGCAACACTATACATCCTATATTGATTTTATTTGCTTCTTCACACATTCTTCGTCAAATTTTCGGCATTGCTTGTTGTGTGGATTCGTTTGAAAGTTTTCCCGCAATTTGTTGTCTGCAAAATCTTAAAGTTACTATTTCAAGATGGAGAATTATATAAAATTTAACAAAATAGGTGAAGGATCCTATGGTAAAGTTTACAAAGGATTGAATAAGTTCAATAATGAATTAGTCGCAATAAAAAAAATTCGATTCCATAATGATGATGAAGGATATGCTAGTTTTGCACTCAGGTTTGAAATGAATAATAGATCCCATCAACAATTTCTCATTAAATTTTATTTTTAGAGAAATATCACTACTTTTAGAGATTAAACATCCAAATATTGTCACCTTAGTTGACATGGTCCCAAAAATTAATAAATTATATTTAATATTTGAGTACATGCTGATAGACCTCAAGAAGTATCTTAAGTTGCTACTAGAAGACGAATTTATTAGTCAAAGTTTGTTGCGTAGTTATTTATATCAGATAAGCAGTGCTGTAGACTACCTACATCGATCGCGCATAATGCATCGCGATATAAAACCTCGCAATATGTTAATTGACGATAAAGGGGTTTTAAAAGTCGCAGATCTTGGAATGGCGCGAGTATATAAAAACACACCACATAAATACTCGCCCAAAATTTCAACCTTGTACTACAAAGCACCAGAACTTTTATTAGGACAAGAAACTTATGATTGTTCAGTGGATATTTGGGCGATCGGGTGCACTTTTGCAGAAATGGCAACCAAAAACGTTCTGTTTAAAGGTTCTTCACATATAAATCAAATACTGGTTATATTCAGGTATTTAATTTTTAGTAAATATAAAAAAGTTGATAATATATATATATATATATAATTGTAAAGTTATTATATTCAATATAATACAATATTTTCTGCCATTAACTAATACTACCTATTGGATGAAATAATTTTTATCTATTTAGTTTCATCAATTAAATATTTATTTTTATTTTTTTATTAAGATTAAAATAGTTTATGTTTCGTACTTTTAATTTTATATACCTACGTAGCATAGTACACTGAGTGCTTTCTAGAGAATCTCTCCTCCAGAGATAATTCATTGACCCAAAAAAAAGTATTGTTGAGCATTATTTTATTTTTAATACAGAGTACAATTTTACTTTTATACAGGGTGCAAGTTAACTCTAATTAAAAACATTTCTACAGACAAATATTTTCAAATTCTAGCGTATTAAAATAGCGAATATATGCTTCACTACAAAAGCAGTTTAAAAGACAATTGAAGGAAAACTTATCATTTAATTTTTAAATTAATTTAAGGTACAATTAATTATTATTAAATTTTTAATATTAAAATTAAATATATTAAGACATACAAACCTTTTCCTAGATTTTTTTAATATCACTACCACAACCCGAATATCTCAGCAATTCAGATCTAACCCAATATTAATAGATTCAGATTAGCGGGGTTCTATCACAGACAAGTTATAAGTAGTAGAAAGTAGAATAAAGTAGAATATTTTTAAAAATATTGTTTTTAAAATCTCTCTGAAGTCCATTGATACACACATAAAATCAATAGAGCAAAGAGAGAATTTATTGAAATCAGAAAAGAGTTTCTATTTTTTAAATAGAAACCAATTTTGTTTCGCTCTCATTTTTATGCTTATTTTGCATGTACATATAATTTATCGTCGGAACTTTTTTATTCACACGATAACCGAACGAAGTCCCGTTAGGTGACGCCACATGTGCTTTTTTATTTTCTTTTGTTTGTTTTCAGCATTGGCAACACGGTTGCCACATGTGGTATTTTAGTACTACGGTTGCCACATGTGCTATTTTTGTAACACTATGCAAAACATCTGTTCATGAACATAGAACGAAAAAACAAAAAGGGTATTTTCATAACTGACGGGTCTAAAATTTAGACTCGAAATAGCATATGTAAGTGCTGAGTTTTCAACCAAGACTTTTAAAATCTTATAAAAATTGTAGGTATATGCACAGATATTTTATATAGTCACATCACAGCATATGTTTCTATGTAAAGGAAAATCGCCACCCGATAATATTGGTAATAATATTGGTAATATTTGTGATGCTGGAAGTATTTCCACAGATAGCAGTAGCAGTAACCAGAAGTAAAAAATTCATATACGTAATATGAATATAATTGAAACTAATTATATATATAGACCTTAAATAATATTATGCTATGCAAAAGAACTATTTAATAAAAAAGATATACACTATGCATGGTCAGTATAGTTCGAATATTTAAATAATGAAATTGTTATGTATAAAAGGACCTCTACTGTTGTATATTTTCTGTATATTGTATTTTTTTATTAAAAGACATAAGAAAAAAATTGGACCTTCTTTACAGAAATGGTACCTTTTTGAATTAATTTTGGTACAGAAAAGTATTATGGTAGATATCTACTCACGGCTTGTCTGTGGTTCTTATGTATTAAACATTAAATTAAATTACATTTAATGAACAAAAATATCAGTAATATTAAAAAAATAGATATATAAGATATTTTATTGATAGTTTTTTTTTTTTTTTGATTTTAATAGACTTCACACTGCCATTACATATTTTATATGTTTATTATAATTATATCATAATTATATTATAATTGTATTATATTTTATTTATAATTACTTTATAATTTTATTATTATTATATAATAATATTATTATAATTAAATTATAATTTTATTATATTTCCATTATAATTATATTATAATTTTTTTTATTATTATATTATAATATTATTTTAATTATAATTTTATTATAATTATATATACCATATTCAACATTTTGGATTAGCTAATATATATATGTTGCTTTAAACTTGCTTATAAAATACGTATATAATAAATAAAAAAATATTTTATTTATTTATTAACATATTTTTTTTATATTTTATAGAACATTAGGTGCCCCCACTGAAGATATATGGCCTGGAGTTACCACTCTTCCGCACTTTTTATCAGAATGGGAAGTTGAGTCAACAATTGAACTTACCTCGTTATCGGGTAATATAAACGACCAAGGAATCGATTTAATTAAAAAAATGATTACTTATAATCCAGCTAGCCGCATTTTAGCAAAAGATATTTTAAAACATCAATATTTTGATGGTTTTAATCCTGAAGCCTTGTATTATTATACTGAATCATAAATTTAATTTAATTTTCATGATTTTATGATATAATTTTTTACAAGTTTTTTACTCTGTTTTACATAATTGTAAAATTTACATAATTGTATGATTATTAAATATGTTTTTTGTAAACAATTTTAAAAGGTTTTGATAATATATATCTCGTTTTTTGTTTATGCCATTATACTTATAAGGTCTGTATATAAATTTATTTTAATTAAGACTTAAGCACTTAGCAGGATATATGCTTGAATAATGTATCCAATACGTTATGAAACATACAAACGGTTCATTGGAAGACCTCTTGTGGTACAATGTAAGCTCACCCACTCCAGACTTCAGCACACTGTCACACAATTCTCTAACTTATTTGACACAACAATTAACCAAATACTTGATTAAAGCAACTGTGCATGCTGTAGATTATAAAACGTCCAGTATCTCCCCCATATGCGAAGAATGGAATATCAAATAGATGCTGAAGGAAACTGGACTTCATTACATATCGCTTAACTACTTACAAACTTCTCCATAAATACATTATAACCCATTCGAAACATGTTGTAGAGACTATAATTAACTATTTATAGAAACAGTTATAGAAATAGCTGTTGCATGCTGCTATAAAAATTTCGTGACGTCACTAATGGTAAGTAGAGCATACCAAACGTAAACCTGATTAAAATATCGCATAATAAGCGATAATAACGTAAAAAATTCAACTTGCGGAAGTATAACCTAGAACTTAAAAGACTAGTTATTTAGATAACTATTAAACTATACAGGTACTAATATTTCCAGAACTAATGGGAAGAGCTAGCAGTTACTACTTTCGGGAGTAAAATGAAAAGAAGGAGAGAAAAGTAAATGGAAAGAGAAAAAGAAAAAGAAAAAGAAAACGACAGAAAGGAAGAGCATGAAAGAGAAAAAGATAGATGAAGAAAGAGAGAGAGAAGAGAATGGGAATGGTGGTATAGAACATTAATTCAGTTTAAATTAATTGAACAAAAATTATGACTAACATATAATCTATACTATAATATACATGTACTAATATCTCCAGAACCAATGGAAAGAGCTAGCAGTTACTATTTTCGGGAGGGAGAGGAGAAGTAGGAGAGAAAAGTAAATGGAAAGAGAAAGAAAGAAAGAGCATGAGAGAGAAAAAGATAGATGAAGAAAGAGAGAGGGAAGAGGATGGGAATGGGGATGGATGTGTAGAACACTAACTAAGTTTAAATTAATTAAACAAAAATTATGGCTAACATATAATCAAGTCAGTTCGTTTTTGTTTTGTAGCATAGATGTTATTTGCTTTATTTTATTTTAGAAGAAATCTAATGTTCTTGGTTCAGTTTTCTTCAGTTTTTATTTACATAAAATCATTATAATTTCATTAAAATTAACTCATTATGTATAAATAAGCTTATCATCATTATAAATAAAAAAATCCCTTCAATTAAAGAAAGTATGTTATGTACATAAGAAAAAACAACAAAGTAGCATAAATAAAGCATATCAAATTCCTATATATGAGTTTTTACATGGAAGTCATTCCAGGAATCCTACTGCATTAAAACTGATTTTATGCGAATTTTGAAACGGCCGTTATATATGAAATTAGTTTCTGTTGTTGTTGTACGGTTCAGTTTTCACTATTTTCTCTATAATAAAAACTGTCATATATTAGAAATACAAATACGGCTTAATTTGTGCTTACTTTGCATCGCATTAGTTGTGTGTGTTTTGTGCGAGAGAGTGTATTAAAAGTGAGTGAGTGAGAGAGAGAGAGAGAGAGAATGTGTGTGAGAGATAGATATAATATTTATTTGTTTTAATTAAACTTTGCAATGGTAAGTTTGTCTTGTTCGTTCCAACTAAAATTCATTTTCTTGCATGTTTTTTTTTGTTTTTTTTTGTATTTTTAAACAATTTTACAACTAAAAACAGTTTTCGCTTTCTTTTCAATTTAGTAAATAATTATGCTTCACTATGCATATTTTATGTATTTATTACTATATTTTAGTATGTAAAAATGTTATTCTTTCAATTTTTTTTTATTTTTTGCATTAAAATAAAATAAAAAAAATTGTGTTTATAATTAAAAAAATGAACAACAAAATTATTTTTAAAATTTTTTTCTTTTTTGGAAATTTATAATTTAAATTTTATTTTTAAAAAAATTATTTTTATGTTGAAGTTCAATTGCAGTAGTAGTAGCAGTATCATTAATTAAATTATATAATATACGAGAGAGAGAGATGACTATAACATCTATGGAGATATGTTGCAGCTATTAATTTGTTGACAGTTTATAGCTGATCAGGTCTGTCACACATTCTGGCTAAAAATGCTATGAAGTAAATTAAAAAAAAAAATTATTCCATTATTATTATTATTGTTATTATTATTATTTATCATATTGTTCTGAATCATTATAGTAGAGGATTCTTTTAAAACAAATTTTTTAAACTTTTTAATTTAAATATTTTGTTAATTATTAATTATTGAGATCAGCTTACAATAAGTTTATTGATTGTTACCGGGCCGGTAGGTCGGTAATGTGCTATGTGTAAAATTATAAAAAATTTTTAAAAAATTACACTTATTAATTTGTTTTAAATATTTTAATTATATTTAATAATTAATTATAAATATAACAATTATTTTATAATCAAATAATATTTTATTTATATCTAACACAAATTAATGTGTAATTTTTTATAATTTTTTTATAATTTTATGTGTTTAATAAATGATCTAAACCCGGTAATAATCAAAAAACTAATTTTATAGATAGTATATTTGAACTTAAAATATCATTACCTCATTACAATAAGAATTAATTTAAAATTGTTTATCTATCTAAACTGTTTTTGGAGAACAAAATAAAAATCGATTATACTACATAATAAATTGTATTACATATATATATATATGAATTATCACTTTTAGTTCGAAACAATATTTATATAAATGTATATACTTATAAAAATACTATATACTTTTTTTATTAATTATAATAAATTAATAAAATGTGTTGTTTTGCTTTTTAAAGTCAATTTTGTGTCTTAATAATTAAGACACTATGTGTCTTAATAGAAACTATTGTTTTAATAGAGAATTATTTTGAACATTACTGATTATTTGATTGTTGTTGTTACTAGTTTTTAACAACTAACAACAACAAAATATTTATTATTTATTAATTACTTGATTTTTTGACGGACCACACAGCTGTTTTGAGTATTCCCAAATACAACTTGTAAGACCACCAAAATAATTATTTCATAATAAATAATCAAAATTTTGTTGTTGTTATTCACTGTTGTTTAAAATACCGCCAAATATTTTTAGTTTTATATATATTTTATTAATGCAAGGTACTGCAAAAATATAACATATACCTATTAATACTTTAATATGAATAACTTCGGACGACACAGCTAAACAAAGTCATTTCCAAAGTATAAAATTTTGGTCTGCTAAATCCGAAAATGGTAATACAAAAAAATTTGCGTTTTTATATATAATAATTTAAAAAAAATTAATATATATATAATATATATATATAATACAAATGAAATAATATTAATAAAACATATTTATATGTGTATATTTTCTAATATAATCAACAACTACTATAAATAAAATTTAATAAATTGATATAATTATGAAAATAAATGTAAAATTAAATAACTAAATAATATAATAATTAAATTGAAAAAAGTTTTTAAATATTTAAAATTATTAGAAGACATACGAGTATATAGGCAATTAAATGGGTTTCTTTTTTAGTCATTACTCTTTAAAAAGTACATATACCTTACTAACATTTAACATAGAATACTTAACTTCATTATCTTACTTTCCTATATAGTTTGGAAATTTTTATATAATTTTCCTCATGTAAAATAGTACAATTTACTTACTGTTTAGTCGAAGACGACTGGATCGCTCATCAATCTTTGGACGAATTCTGTTTTTGGTGCAAACATTCAAACGTTTTTGGACGGTGCATATGTGGTACATTACATAGGATTAAGTAAAACAAACGATTTGTTTTTTTGCAGTGCATTTGACATAAGGATGTGATTTATTTTTTTTAAGGAATCGGATAAGGTGTGTTGTGGATACATATAACAAATAGTGACATGAAACAATATAAAAATACAAAACATATATTAATACTTGTTGTTTAATGTCTTGTTGAAAGACAATTTTATATTTCAAAAAGAAATAATTTTATAATAAAATAAAATTATTAGTTTTATGTAGAAAGTACTTACGGGAATATGGGATAAAACCTTCATCATCCTCAGGATCCATGCAGTCAGCGAAGAGTTGCTCCACTTGTTCATCATCTAAAGCTTCACCTGTAAGCATATAATTAAAAAAATTTGTTTATATTTTTAATAATTAAAAGAGTAATACTATTCTAAAATTATAATATGTCAATATAAAAAAAATTGTTATCAATTAACTGTACCCTTGTTTGCAAATTAAATAAATATAATTATTCCATTTAATTATGTATCATTTATATTTTGAAATAATTTTTTTTACAAATTATAATTATAATAATATATAAAAGAATATTCAAAAATATTTTTAAATTTAATTTCTTTATTTTAGTAAAAAATATATAATAAATAAATACTAACATTCACAGACTTAAAAACAGGGGTCATTAAATCTCTGTATAGTATAATAGTAGTACCTATACTATTATTATTTTAATAATATTCGTAATTAGTTGTTTGTATTTTATTTTTCTTTATATCTTTTCAATTTTTATTACTAATTAATGGTTCTCATATATGTGTAAGAACTTTTCTTATACATTTTAATTTCTTGAACTTACCTAATGAGAGGAGGGCGTGTTGCAATTCAGCAAGAAGCATGGTGCCGTTTTCTACTTTATCGTACAATTTCAAACATTCAATGAAATCTTCGTAGCAACCTTGATCCTTCTCTTTTTTAACTTGTGAGTAAACTGGGAGGAATTCTTCCATTGT